CTTTGATCTATGATACTTTTTGGACTTCGTTTTCGAATCTTGGAAGCGCCCCTCTCCCGCGCACGTCTTTGCCTTCGCTATAACACTTGCAAAGTTTTGTTTCAGACCGAACAATTTCCAGTTTTAAAACAAAATGAGAAAAGTACGAAATGTTAGTGTTCCTACTTGTATGTCACTTGAAACATTAATCGCTGCAGGTGTTGGCCAATAGTGATGCCTGATAACTGAGTGTATCGAAGATTAGAGCTTCTTCATTGCTGTGCGAAGAAAAAGTAATGTAATTCGTGGATTGTTCGGAAGAATTGTCAGCCTAGAAAAAAAGGTATTCTGAACAGTCGAGAAACTTATATACACGTTGCAAAACTGTTAGTAAGTACACGATTATTAAACTGTAATATAATTTTTTGTATACATTTCGGAATAAAATATAATTTGAAATTATAATTGTTAAAACGCATAAACAAAATGAGCAGAAGGTAACAAATTTCCTTCAGGTGATATTGGGGCAAAATGAGATAAAATTAAACTAGAAAAATGAAAATAAAGAAGCTTATCATTAGTTTTTTATTGTATTTCTTGCTGTTACCGTTGTCTTTTTATCTTAAAAAAATTTAAGGTTAGCCTGGTAAGTGGCGGTTTCATTAATTGAATCGTTTATATCAGAAACCCGTCAAACGCCAACGTTTAATAGACTCATTAGCGGCGGAATATTGCTCCAAGAGGATGGACACATTGTTCAGTGCATATTTATATGAAAAAATAATCCTTTATAACTACTTTAACATATACAGATATTTTGAAATCGGAAAAATTTATCAGAAATCGGTTACTTCTCAGTTTTCGAGGAATGAGTATTTTGGCGTTTGACAGGCTTCTGAAATAAACTATTCAATTTGAGAATGGATTATACTTAGTTTTGTACACAAATATGTAACCTTTTATTTTTGTCAGTTCGATTTGCGTTCACTATATAAAACAATCCTACGAGATTTTTGAAGGGGGTATATATCCTTGTGAACTGCTATGTGTCGTCTGCGTGTTCGGGGCGCTTTCTCCACATTGCCTTGTGCCTGCGGTGGTTTTGTAGACGAATTCGTGCACCACAATGCATAGTATCGTGCGACCCACAGTGCATCGCTATTTTAGGCCCGTCGCCCATTATGCAAGGATTAGCCGTCCCCGCGCACCTCCCGCTTGCCGCCATTTATTTGGGGAGGGGAGGGGGGGCACTGGCCCGCCTGTTCTCTCCAAAATCCCCCATGCATCGGAAACAGTTGCTCCCATCCCACTAGTTCCAAAACCCCTATCCTCCGGGCGCCCAGCGCTCTACGTCAGCCTGAGTTACTACCATGTCCCAGGCCCGAATGCGTGCGTCATGGAGAATCAGGACGTGGCGCTGGCTCGCCTGAATGCGTCCTCCGGAATGTGTGCCGGCATTAAAGGACAATTCAGGATAAAACCCATCAAGTCGTCGGCGGGATTTGTTTAGCATTCGATACATTAATTACCTGTGGATGTTCCTGTACGTAGGGACCCTACCGATGCGCTGTTTCCGAAACTGCTCCGTGCAAAATAGGCCGAAAACGATTGATGGCGCAAGTTGCTGATTGCTTCATTTTATCCAGCTACTCTTGCCAGTTTTATTTAGGAAGGAGTGTACCCCTCGGGTTTATATTACTGGCACATTGCCCCTTCCGGCTTTCACGTTGCAAATTACAAAATATGTTGCGGGAAGCAATGCGCAAATGTGTGGCAGAGGTGGCGGGAAGACTCTCGGGAGCGTGGAATTCGCATTGCCGGTCAGCGTGCATCGGTTGCCGGTAATTTTTGTTTCCCCAATGGCGAAAAACTACCTCTACCTCTTCCAGCATTCAGAGAGTATTTTATTCTTTATTTGATGGGCGTTTAATATAACCCAGGAACGAGGGTTTCTGTGAAAGCTTCCTAACAAAGGTATCTGATAAGGGTGAGTTCCATATTTTCATTCTGAAATAATGTACATCAAGTGCATTCATGCCTGTTGGCCTCTATTCCCTGTAAAGTAGCTGAATATTGCGACAGCTTGGTGATGTTACTTTTACTCCCATGCTAATCCCCCCCACAAAAACAAAACAAAAACAAAAACAAAAAAAAGTGTGGCTGGGGAGGTTTCAATTAGGATTAGGATCTTATTGGCGAGTGTTGATGAGATACCAATATTCTCAGTGCTTTCTAACATCCATTACATTTATCTGTGCCACGTTTAAAGTAGTGTTTTTTAGAGATGGGGACGTCTAAAGCATGGCTCAATCCTTGTTATCCCAAATGATTCTAATTTATTATCGACGCGGGCGATACTGCTAATGGAGTAATAGTTTTCAATACCACGAGGTATGAAGTTCTTTAGTGTGGTTCCTGATATCGCTTGACACCCTTTATGTTTAAATCAAATGGTATCGAATGGCCCCAGTGGCATGTTTGTACCGTGAGTCTGTTTACCGTTGAGTCTGTTTTACCGTTGAGTTCTGTTTTACCGTTGAGTCTGTTTTACCGTTAGTCTGTTTTTACCGTTGAGTCTGTTTTACCGTTGAGTCTGTTTTACCGGTGAGTCTGTTTTACCGTTGAGTCTGTTTTACCGTTGAGTCTGTTTTACCGTTGACAGTCGTTTTACCGTTGACAGTCTGTTTTACCGTTGACAGTCTGTTTTACCGTTGACAGTCGTTTACCGTTGACAGTCTGTTTTACCTGTTGACAGTCTGTTTTACCGTTGACAGTCTGTTTTACCGTTGACAGTCTGTTTACCGTTGACAGTTCTGTTTTACCGTTGACAGTCTGTTTTTACCGTTGACAGTTTGTCACTGTTTTTACCGTTGACAGTCTGTTTTACCGTTTGACAGTCTGTTTTACCGTTTTGACCAGTCTGTTTTACCGTTGGACAGTCTGTTTTTACCGTTGACAGTCTGTTTTACCGTTGACAGTTCTGTTTTTACCGTTGACATTCTGTTTTACCGTTGACAGTCTGTTTTACCGTTGACAGTCTGTTTTACCGTTGACAGTCTGTTTACCGTTGACAGTCTGTTTTTACGTCGTTTACCTTGACAGTCTGTTTTACCGTTTGGACAGTCTGTTTTTACCGTTGACAGGTCTGTTTACCTTGACAGTCTGTTTACCGTTGACAGGGCTGTTTTACCGTTGACAGTCTGTTTTACCGTTGACAGTCTGTTTTCCGTTGCAGTCTGTTTTACCGTACTAGCAGGCAAATGCCGCCCGCTCATCCTAGTTCTCGTTAGCGGAAAAAGCTGCAGGAGTGTGCTGCCCATGATATGCGGCGTTCAAAACCAAGAGAATCGTTATTTTCGCTGTCACCTTTTGCACACAATGGTTACATTGATGGTTAAACTGATAAGATCACCGAAATATTTCTTAATGTCAACTTCCGCTCGGGAACGGTCTTATGCCGTTGAATGTAAGTTTGATTAAAACGTTTCTTCTCCTACTTTCCTCAATTTTCCAGCTGCCGATAATTAGAGTATATTTATTTACGCCAGTGTGTTGTTACTGTTAGTTTTGGTTTTCTTAGTATTAACTCTTAAGGATGTACCATCGACGTCAAAACGTTCAGCCTAAATCAATCTGGTTTTGTGCTTGATGCGTACGCGTGCGCACGTGGGAGGGGAGGGGAGCCCAGTGGGCCTGGCCGATTTCTTGCGCCTTTTCTCGAATGCCGCACGCGAAGAGGCGATCAACGCACGCGCGGAAGACGAAATACATCTAAAATTTTTCTTTTAAAAACCCTCTGAAGCGAATTAGGAAGCTCTGACTGAGATGATCGTGAACGCTCAAGCTCTCAGGCTTAGTTTTGTCAATTCATAATTTTGTTTAGTTTTTCTAATTATCTTATATCTTAATTATTAATTAATAAACCCGGGACATGAAATTTTGAATTTAATTTTCCTCCAAGCGGACATAAATAATAGGCTAGGGAAACTTTCTAAAACAATGGTTTTGGGGCGATGTATGATAACAAGTTTTGCTGTCTAATGTCAGGTCTCTAATTAATTGATCCTTAGCCCACTCAACACAAGACCTACTCACACAGTAAGAAAATATCATTCTGTACGAGATAATGGGAATCACCTGTCTTACTCTCGTTGCTGCTTCACGAGAAAAATCTCTCTGCCTCGGAGATTCGGGAGAGGCCGAACGTTGCTTTGACAGCCTGCAATCGACATTGCCAGCATTCATACGCCTAGTTCCTATCGCCTTTTTTTGTTGTTTCGTGCTCTTGTTGCCGCGCCAACCAAACGCCATCGCCGTGCAGGTTGCGATGCGCGCGGCCGTGCGTGACCCTTATCGCGAGCGAAATTAGTTACGGCTGTAAAGCGGACGGCGTGCTTTTCTTCATCTGCGTGCCGGAGCGCACTCGGGAAGTTGCAATGGCCGGTCGCGCGTCCGCCTCTGCGGACGAAGCCCAGAGCAACTGTGTGTTGCTTTCGAGGCCGTGCGTGGTATCGTGGTGCAAAGTGAGGAAAGCGTTACCTGGGTGTGGAATACTTTCAGAAGAGACTTCGTGTGCGACTACCGAATTGTCTAAGGTGATTAATTTATTACATTTATATATTGTTTTACGAGATGTCATCTCAATTTATTAGAGAAGAGTAACAAATCGATACGCGTCTGTTGTTTAAGGTAACATCCTGTTAGTAGGTGCTAAATAATTTATTGGTATCTTTTTTAATTCGGATTGTTGAATGATTCGTAGGTTTCTATGGGAAGCGGTATCTTATTTATCCATTAAAAGCAAAAGCCGGAACTTTAAAAATAAATAATGCTTGCTTTAAAGTACGCTCACCAGTGCTATCTTCGTATGTTAAAACATTAAGAGGTAATTTTTCTGCCACGTCTACCTAACGTATTAAGTCGCCGACACCACCGATGCTGTTTTCTTTGCACTACGCTGCACAGCGCTGGGTGCACGGTTGGCGAGCTCTTGAGACTTACGTGCCTTGCTTGTGTTACAGAACCATGCGGACCAGTACAGTGGCTACGGCGACGAGCCCCGCCGGAAGAGGTAAGCATCTCCCGCCGGCCATTCGGCACCTCGAGCGCCGGACGCGGCGCGTGCGCGGAAGGTAGCAGCCCACGCGCGCCGCCTGTGCGTGGTCTGCGCGCGCAGTGGCAGAATGGAGATTCCCGGTGGGTGGACGCCTCTAGGGAAAGCAGGCGGAAGCTAGAATGACCACATCAAGGAATTGGTCTTGGTACAAAATTAATAAGCTATTATTTTTAAAACCGCTTTTGGTAAATCGTCAAATTGGATAGGTCATACGTAAAAGGCGTAGTCAGTTAAGAGTGTGAAACCTTTGGAGGCGAGGGTCAACAGCCGATTTCATTATCAGATGAAAACAATTGAGGGCGGGGGGGGGCAGAACATTCTTCAAACAAGTTGGCAATGAGAAAAGCGGTTCAGTAAATTTTGGTTACTTTTGTATGGTGATAATGAGTTAAGTAATATTTGCTGCATTTACGGATATTTTTATAATCTAAAATATATTTAGCAGTCCAGTGCAAAAACATTTTTAGAGATGAGTCGAAGTACCTCAGGCAAGTATTTCAGTGTGTGTGTGTGTGTGTGTGTGTGTTGATACGGCAGCAGTTTGTGTGGGACTTGGCCAATACCAGAAAACTTCGCGTCGGTAAAAACATCGTGCAATCGTAAAAAAAAAAAAAAAAAGTTTGAAGTAATCAAAACTACGACGCGACCGAGGGCAAAGTAAGCCTGCCGGGATTCAACTGTTCTGCCATTATGCCGCGCGCTGCTAGCAAATGCGTGCGCTTGAGGGGCGCGTCTGGCCGTCCCCGTGCGTGTTCGGCGCTGTCTTCGCCTCCCCGCTGCGCTGCGTTTTTTTGCGCGCTCCGCGCATTCCTCCGTCAAGCATGTAGCTGCCGCCGTCGCTGTCGCCGCCTGGCCCTTCCTAGCGCAAAAACTGAGCCGGGCCGGGGCCTCCTGACATCTGAACGACATTGTAACGTTTTGATGACGAGGCTCTCCGGGGACACATTTGACACGAGGCTCAGGCGGTCCTTCTGTAGTTCAGTGTATCCAGAATAGCTCCGTTTTGTGCAGAGAAGTCATAGATGTTTTGCTCGTTTTTTCTTTTAATTAGAATTTGTTTTTGAGAAGTCGATTCTTTCTAATTCCTTCAGAAATCAAAAGTTTAAAATGTGTATGTTCTTGTATTGTATGTATATATATTTAATACAAAGACAGTCAAAGTTGCATTCTTCTATATACTGTGCTGCGTGCATCAATCAGTCTTCCGCGAATGTCACGTTAATTTTTTGCGTAAGAGCTGGGCGGTGGCTGCAAGCTTACGGAAAACGGCTAACAATGCGTTGATGCCTCAGCGTTTCCCAAGTTGAGTAGTGCGTGACTCTGGGCGTACTGCCTGCTTTACTGTCTCCGTGTTGCGTTCATTGTATGACGTACGATCACTGCATGGGTAACGTAATGACAAGAGTTTGGTGTCCACTTGTGATTTGCCAATTTCGCCCTATCCGATTGCCTCATCGAGCGAACCGCGTTCGCTTGTCTGCGATATAACGACGACGCATGCGACTTTGTCACTGGAGCGGACAGTAACAGCCCGTTAGAGCTCCGCTATGCTTTCAACTTGGGATGCGCTGTAATGCTGATGTAACTTGCAGGACCTCGTCGGAGTGCTGATACCAGGGCGCGCTGTTGCCACTCCCGATTTGGCGTGGAGGGCGTAGGAATGCGCATTCGCTGATTCAAATGGTTGACCCAAATGCTGCATTGTCTGATTGTTCTCGTCGTTTGCCTTTGTCGTTTCCGAGTTGGATTAGAGCAAATGGATTGTCACTAGGGTTTCACTTTGTATATTAGTCTCCCTAAGTGTTTCAGTGGCGAATTTACAATGGTGGTGGTGGGTGTAGTAACGTTTTCTGCCCTCGTGGATAGAGATCGACCGTTTTTGGGCTGAAGCGAGTGCTTCCCAGGCCCCCCGAGACGTCGCCAGGCTATTCTATCGCTGCTCATTGCTTTTTGGTAGGCGCCAGTTCGCGGCGACGCTCCACTCTCCTTGCGATTGGCGCGTTGCCGCCTCGTTTGTGCTCGCTTTCTGAACTGTCTAGTGCAACCTTTCAGCGCACGTGATCAACGCGGTTGGAGCGGGCAGCAGAGCCCCGGTTTTTTCCGCCCCAAGTTCGGTCGGCAGCGGCCGACGGCGTCCGACGACTGGGGGTGAGTACGGCGGCGCGCTCGCTGCTGCGTCGACGCCTGGCGGAACCGCGCGCGCGAGCCACGCCGAGCCCACGCATCCCCTTCTGCATCTCTAACGGCATAATCCATCCCCGGGTCGGCGTGGCGGCGGCAGCGGCTGTCGATTTAGACTCCTTGTCGTCCTATCAACTAACTTGTAGGCATAAGAATGCCCCAGCATGATCAGCCTAGATTCCAGCAGATTTTTGCATCTAGTTGTAGACTCCCTTCAGTTTTAGAGGTATAGAGAGGATCGGAGAAGAGCCTCTGCGGAATGCCTTCGCTTCTTCCTTTTCATCTGCATGTTGGGAGTCTTGATATTTCTGTTCATTACTTTCTTAATGCAGGAGGAACTGGATGCTCGTTATTTATCGTATACATCGAGCATGAGGATTGTACGATCTTTCGCTGAATTCCTGTTGCTATACTAGAATTCCTTTACATTTCCTTTTGAAAATGCATGTAAAGGGCTTATGCATCGTTGGTTATTGTTGGTACAAATAGAGGTTGAGGGGTAGATTCTGTTTTGCAGTTTTCCAGACATTTTAGCTAATACTACTGTATGTGCTGGTTTTGGTACGTAGTTTTGAAATAGTATTATTGGAAAATGTGGTTCTCTGATCCGATTGGCATTTGTTTCAATTCAATCTAAACAATTTTCGACTGGCCATAGAAAGAACGGGGTAAATCAATTCTAGATTATGTTCAGGTCACGATTACCTAATTAAGAAAATATCCAGTGATTTTTGCCAGTAAAAAATATAATTTTACATAATTTTCTTAACGTGTTGCAAATGGCATGTCTGATATTTATATTGCTATTTTCGTAACTGCCCCTGGCGGGTATCAGTTGGTCAGTTTCATCCAGTTGGCAGCTTGAACGTCACCATAGTTACGTCACTATGGTGACTTCAAGCTCCCAATTGGTTGAAACGGTGATGTTGAAAAAATGAGTTAATGAAATTCCTCACTTATTGTTGCATTAAAATTTGTTTTTCACGTTTAAAAACGTTTAATTATTTTTATATTAGATATTAATATTTTATAATACAATATTTTAAAATATAAATAATATTGATAAATTATTAATATTACCGTCTTCGAAAAAATACTGAAAATACATTTGTTTAATTTAATCCGCCCCTGACACAATTATATCGCTGGAAGTAAATCTCCATGTCGATTGGAAAGTTTCGGCATGGGATATTGTGAAATATGTAAACACTCAATTTGTTGCACAATAACCACAAAGTTCAAATTGACAAATCTGAAAATCACTAGTGTAAATACACCTATATTGGGATTACGTTAAATTACGTTATTTAAATATCTCCCTAAAGAATGCACCAAATTAAAATGGTAACAACTTACAGTTTTCATCCAAAATGAGATCATCCCCCTCAAAGATAGAAATCCCCTTTTTATCACTACGGCAAACCTGAATTCGTGTCCACCGTATTCCTATGCTGTCATGAACCGATAACTATGTTGTAATGAATTGGAAATCGTGCAGTGGACTTCGCTAAAATTAATAAATCTGTTATCAAGTTGTGAATTTACCGTCGATTTCCCCCAAAATAGAACAATTGGATGGTTGTTTTAAACATGCAACAAAATGTATTTTCATCCTTTTTTGATTTGTGTAAAATGAGATTGAGGCGAGTGGTCAAAACGTGCGTTTACGATAGTGATTTACGAGGCGATCGGAGAAAGTTTCTAGAAACCATCTATTAAGGAGTAAAGGAGAGGAAAGAAAGCGATAAAATTGTATTTTCAATAATCTTCTAAAATCGAAGCACCATATCGTAAGTTTCGACTGTAATGATCACTTATGGAATTCAGCTAAGAAACATAAAAATATTGTAATATGAAGTGGAAATATTTACTGAACATAACTTAACCTATGTAAAAGTACCATCACAGTTAGAAGAATAAAATTTACTCTGGTTACAGTACATCAAACTACCATAGATCCGATTTTTATTTAGGTCGGATATTAAGTGTTTTTTACTGATGGCGCACTACTTTTTTATATAAAAAATACATTTTTTGCCATAATATTTTACACAGTGCTATGCAAGCTGTTGAGATTTGTAGTGTTTGTAGTATACAGTTTGTGTGCTCGGTGACAGTAAAGGATTGTGGTAAGTTATTGATCAATTTGCAAGGGAACAATGACACTCTAGTGAATATGGTTGTCAGTCTTGAACGACCCCTTAAATAAAAGTGTTTCTGAGAAGGAACAGGATTTCCCCCCACATACTGGTAATAATCACAAGCTCACCTAAATTTACGTCTCTCATTGAATTCCTTTTGAAAGTTTTAAATTATGCATGATGCTGATTTGCAATGTATTTGAGCAGAACACAATACAAGGTCTTTTACTAACCTTTAGATACTAGTGTTTTGGGGGTCACTTGTTTTTGAGCAAATATGTGTGGAGCAGATTTCGAAATTCTAGATTAAACACGTAATTGACGTCCCTATCCAGGGCTATCTGGTCCCTAGAGTTACATGTAATCGTAGAGACAGTTGTTTTTCTTGAAATTCGTTTCTTGATAATTTTCCAGCGCCTAAATAATTGTATGTGCGATTGAAGTAATCGTGTGTAATGCAATATCAGGATATCCCGAAAAGAGAGAGAATCGGAAATGGATCTGCGTATCATTCACTGACGGTACATAATTTAATTTTTTCTTGAACAATAATTCTGGTGTCAAAACAGAATAAAATGTGCATTATTCTGCCTCTGTTTTTAAATCGACAAACTACTTAGTAAACTCTTGAGA